TTCTTATTTTTTCCAAAAGTTTTTAAAGGGCAGCAAAAAGATTTCAGAAGCAGGGACTTGCAACATGAAAGGCAGTATCTGAGTATTTTAATTGTTTTCAAACTGAATTATACACATGCATATATGCACACACTCACATGAACACGCCATCCCCCCAGTAACAGATCTCACTTGCTCTGACAAATGATAAAATCACTGAAGGGACTAGGATGAGTCCTAAGTAGTTACTGTTTTTTTAGAAAAAGCAAAAGAAAAGTAATATTGCTACTTGCCCTGTTCTTCAGTGGCTTACTATTTACTGTTGAGTGTGAAGAAAAAATTCCATTTAAAAACTGCTAGTTATGAGCCCTAATTTGGTAAACCATGTTAGTCAGCGATTAACGTTAAGGACAAATATACGTCCAAGAATGCTTTGCTGATTAGGGTTTACACACAGAAATAGGGCCTCAGTCATACCAGCTACCGACGAGTTATCATTGTGATAAATACACATATTCCATCTAATTGTGTAAATATGTATTTTCCTTCTTTCTAAAAAAACCCCACAGGCAGAAATTCTTAAGTACTTTAACAGGAAAATTAAGTATGTGCTTAAACTAAAATCTCAGACTAAAATAGCTCATAACTTATGACTTGAGGGCTGTTCTGCAAGAATCAGTTGATGCAGTTGCACTAATTAGAGAGAAAGTGTTCTGATGTTATAGGACTTTTTAGCATAGGCTCTGCTTTTTGGTTTTTAAAAGAATTCCTTGGAATTTATTTTTGAACAAACAGATCCAAAGCTATTATTGGCTTGAATGTTATCTAAAGAGGAGGTGCACAGTGTATTTTACCTTCAGTCTTACTGAGGAGTACAGTACCATCCCTCCACATTACGGTGCCCTTGTATAATCCAAGATTACACACAGATTTTGTACAGCACGCTCTCAATGCCAAGAAAAATAAAAACAATAGAAGTAACTGGATTTGTAAATTCTAGAATTCTGTTTAATCTAGAATCATAAGTACAATATAAAAAAAAAAATTAATTGACACAAAGCCAGTCATAGTATAGTAGCTCTTTGGGAAAGTTTTTGCATCGTTAGTTCATGTTAATTTGCAGAACCATGATCAAGTCAGGTGAACAATCAGAACTATTAGATTAACAATGCAGAATTTTTGGCAAGTTGCCCTAACTAGATGTCTTCTCCTCTTTCCTGCATCTTTTCTCCCTCTTCCTCCTCTTGCAATTACCTTACTTGCTTGCTCGCTGCCTTTCCTACATCCTAAAATATTTTCATTTCCTCTCTAATGCCTTTGTCAAAGAACAACATAGTGCTTTGCTTTTTGCCCTGACACTATGGAGAACTCCTTGTCATGTCTTTATTTCACCCACAGTGTGACTGATTCGTCACTTGCTTCTCAAGAGAGGAAAAGAGTAGGTGAAGGCAGAGGGCAAGGGTAAGGGCGTGGGTTTGTTTGCAGTTTTACAGACTTATGCCTGCCCCCTTCTTTCCGGTTTTCCCTTCCTCCCTCCCAGCCTCCCTCCCTCCCCATCAATACTTTAAAAATCATTCCCATTCATGTTGTGTGCGCGCACATGCTGGGAGAAATTACAGGCGCTGTGGTCCAGGTTGCCTTGACAACTTGAAGGCATCCCTGTGCGTGAGGACCGGTGGCACAGCGCAGTTTCCCAGGCCCCCCGGGGAAGGGGAGGCAGGGGAAGAGAGGAGGCAGAGGTGCTGGAGCCAGCAGCCGTGCGGAGGGGAGAGCGGCGAGCAGGATGAAAGGGGCACATACATCTCCCACGGGACAATGGGAGTTTTGCTGGCTGGCTGTGAAAGGACACACTGAAGATACAATGGTCCGTGACACATGAAAGCTTTGGAGCGAACTTTATTGCTTCTCCATTAAGGGCCCTTCCAGAGACGCATTCAGCTCAAAGAAATCCTGTCAACATCTTAAAATGTAAATTAAACAAACACCTTCATTTTCTCGTGTTTTAAAAACAGATTTTAAATATTTTTTAGATAATTATTTTTATTGGTATGCTGGAAGCTTTTGCAGTTTTGGCCCTGGATGGTACCGAGTGTCCCTCTTGTGGGTTCCCCAAGTTCTCATTAACTTCAGTGGGAGGGAAGGCTGCCCAGCAGCTCCCCAGTAAGGGCTCTCTGAGGTGAGAATTTGCTTCCTCCTCATACAGCTTTTGTTCATACTTCAGCCTGTCATCCCTCTGCTTTGAATGCTTTGCTGCTGCACATGCCACGACTGGTTAGAGCTCAAGAAGAGAGGAACTGCTGTTCCCTACTTTCAAGCTGAGAAGTCATTTCTATGATAAGCAAGAGCAGGAA